GGGCAAGTAGGTTATGGTATTGCAGCGTACCGCCGAATATATTACACAGAACCCACTATATAAACCTGTTTATTTATTGTCTCTCCGTGTCATTAACGTCAGACATCGCGGGAATTTAAAATTACCAATTTACTTTTTACATAACTGAAATACCGTGTTCATTTGCGTCGTCTACGCTTTTACAGATTATTGTAGTGTTATATATTCTTACGTCACAGAATACAAAGCATTGCTAGCAGTTTCAAACAACAAACATAACTATTGTTTTTCACAACTTTATTTTAAAAAAATATCCCCCAAATGCTCACTGTGGTTGAAACATTTGCAATATTAAGTAAATAATACTGAATTGACATACTAAGTGATACACTGACTGTTTTCTGTACTCACGAAACAATACAATATATTAGTATGTCCCACTCTAATACAAGACAGTGACTGTGTCATTGTGACTTTATGAATCCGTACACAAATTCCATATATATATACGGCAAATTGAAAACTGTAATTCTGAACAACAACGTTAAATTTGAAATCATCATTTTAGTTGAGAACAAGTTCTGTTTTTTATGGCCCAAATGCTACTGATATCAAAACCACAATCGCAGATTCGCTTCTCGTGAGTGTAGGCGTGGTTTTAATAGTAGCACATGAACGAGGTCGACTATGTAATGTCGGGCAAGCACGAGTTGATTCATAATTAAAGTGTGTGACTAATATGTGATTGAATGAGTGGTTAGCAGCATTTGGTAAACCAACTTTTGTAAATTAGTAAATTTGTCCAATCATATCCGAAACGAAATCGTTGTCGTAATTGGTGTGAAATATTTTTTCTTGAAACAGATAAGGGTTTGGTCATTTATAATCGAGGAGGGATGTTTACGCGATCATGTATCCAGAATTTGTTTTTTACACTTTTTCGCTTTCATTACAGCAGTATATGCATTTCCATACCACGTTTTAATTAGTAAACGACTCACTGACTTTTAGATATAACTATTAATAAGCACCTTTAAGTTACTCTTTAACTACCCTATTTATGTCAAAGTATGGGCCCTTATCAGTTGTAAGGGTTTTATCCCATGAGTCAAATTTTGCTGACTTGCACAGTTTTACCGAAAATGCTTGCTGACATTTTGCCCACCAGTTACCTACCTCATATTGAAACATTACGTTAAACAAAATATGCACTCAAACGAGGGAGAATCCGCGTTTAGTATTATATTAGGATTGTCATTTATTCAAAAAACGATAAGATAATAATACTGACGGTAAATCTTCATTTCTGAAAATCTGCATTTACGTCACTTCTTCCGTAGCCTGTCCTTAATTTCCATCCAAATTGTTAAAAACACATGTTGATTTCACAAGTCGATATCGTGGATGATTTAATGAATATTGAGGTCAACTCAGTATTTACAACTCCCTAGGCTGCTAAACAAAACAATAATATAGCTGTAACCACTCGTACCAAAACATTGTCAACTTTCACAGCATTGTAAAACTTGATGGTCATTAGAGAATAATATTAGCTGATTGTACTCAGAACAAACAAAGAAACAACATATATCTACATCGACGAATTTTATATAAAAAATGAGCTATATCTAAATTGTTAGATTTCACGTAGTCTACATATCATTATCGTCAACAAATCTAGGCGCTGAGTTATTTGGTGATGTCAGAGAACCACAACCCAACGAGAATAACATTTCATGACTAAAATAAATACGATGTATCATCCGTGGACTTACTAGTGTTAATATTACTATGACACAATGGTATTACTATGATTCAATGAGGGCGTAGTCTAACATGGCGATGTTTGTAAACATATTCCGGGTGTCTTATTGTCATGGTGATCACAATGACGATGTTGTATTTCATCGATTTACACTAGAGAACGGATTTAGACTATTGTATACGTTAAAGCAGGTTAATCGCAAAACCATTGGGCTTACTTTTAAATTAGTGACAGTAAGTATCAAATTGTAGGCGTCGCGACATATCTTCCAATAGATTAAACAGTGACCGTCCAATCAGCGTGGATATCTACGACTCTGTCAACAAGTTAATGGGGCAAGTGTGTGTTTGTAGATCAAGTTGATACTACAACGATATCACTAGTGGAAGATTGCAAGAAATTACATGTTTGTAAAAACGTCCGTGTATCGTATTGATTTGCAAATAAAATATCTAACATAAAGGTGCTCTCCCTCAATAAAGTCACTTTTAGATTAGATTAGCTTACACGGAGCCAGAAATAGAGAAATAACGTGGGTAGGTTGTCTTGATATCAAGATATGCCTAATTAACTTATATACACTCACTTAGATAAGATAAGAGTAATGCCCACGTGACTGTTTTACAGCAAAACTCAGAGGTGTGTCACGAGACATGGGAGTTGTCCCGAGAGTTGGGTTTTTTTTTTATTGTACCTAGATAGACGTGCCTTAGATAGATTGAAATCAAAAATATTGTGAAAATAAGCGATCCAATTAACATTAATATTGAATTAATATCACTGAAACATTATCAAGTTACAAGATAGCCGGCACAGTCCCAGCCTCCGTACGATTTTGTTAAGCTCACCTGTACCATCGTGAGTATTTGGACAAAAATAAAAAAGACGGTCACCGACCTCTTTTGACAATGGTTATCGGCCACATTATGCCCCAGATAGTACACAAGGCTGTTTTTCAAATCGATTATTGAATGTGTTCATAACAACAGGATTTCAAAACAAACAAAAAAGGTCACCTACATTTTAAAAGTTATTTTTAGGTTTTTCCCTCTATTAACTTTGTAATTGGCGATATATCATATTTTCACATACATTGAATGTGACGTAGATACAGTAGCGACCACCTTCATATTTGTCGGTGAAATTCAAATAATGCAAGGACAAATAAAGGCTAGACATCTAGATCTCAAACTATATTTATTTCACATCAGCATTGCGTGTATATAAAAGAAGTGTTGCATCATGACGTATTGTACTTTGAATTCAAGGCAAAATGTTCGGGTTCCCAAAGCGTTGAATTCCCGTTTGGCATGACGCCACCGCGATTCTTAGTTCAATGCGAAGCTACTTGAAAGATTGTACGTGATTGGCTACCCAACCCGGACGCCTAACATTCAGACCAATAAGAGAGCAACTTGTTTTTAGATATGATTTTCAGATACGCGTATTGGCTTTGGCAATATGTTCCGACTTAGATCATAAATATTCTTTAGTGAAATGTACATCCCAACCAAAATTTCAGTATGCACATTTTATGAGAACAATGAATACAAATTCAGAAGGTTCAGTATCTGTGCACTCCGTACTCCATTAACGAATTGCGTAATAAAATGTCTAAGATTTTGGGGCATGCCCTCTTTGCATTTTGTGCAGAATTATAAGTATACAATATATAATAATATATATAATCACAGATGGTCTGAAACGGTGGACTCTTAAGTCAGATAACACGCTTTTACGTAATGTATTGCCATTGCTCCAGTAAACGGTTGGCGTGCCATGTCCAGAAATTAGTAAAGGGAACTCAATATTCATCACTAAAGCAATTAGCCGAGAAATATTTCCAGAAATATTGGGAAAAAACACAAAATATTTATCAGAATCATCGTTAAAGTATTTTACGGAATGCAAAACGCGTTATTTAAAAGCGGAACAGATGTCATATGATTTTCAAAGTACGATCTTTATGTTTATTCATATAATTTGCGAAAGGAGCACAGTCCGCTGACATGTGCATCGTTATGCACTACATTATGGGGACGTTTTACATCGAGGTTTTTAACATTTCAAAAAAACAAAAGCAAAAACTCGCGTTTTAAAACTATTGAAATAAGTATTTTTTGAAGGATATGTGTGCTTTCGCGATAACCAAAACTTAAAAAAACAAATACAAGCAAATAAATTTGAATGAAATAAAATATATTTGAAAAAAGCCCTAACTGGGATCTTATTTTGATCAAATTGCGTTTATCAAAAAATCCCGATAACCCACAGCGAGGTAACGCCGATGAGATTGAAATTCTAGTTATCGTATTCCCACGTATTTTATTTCAATTTGTGACGATGACGTCGTCTGCTAAATAACATTGTCACGTGTCCATGTCCATATAGACCATGAATTCTATGAGATTTGAATATTTGGCTATGATGCTATTTCTATTTTATGCATGCATTTATAAAAACGAACTTGCCAAGAGTTAATTTCTAGTTTTGTTCCATGCAGCAGAACGTACGGATATACCAATATGTGTTTCTTCACAACTTCGAACAAGGAAAATAATCCAGTAGGAAATACTGTATAAATTGTAGCGATAATTGAAACCAAATGATGAACTACAATTACAATACATTTTATTTTATAAAGTGTCCCTCCTCCTTTAGTGGTCACCACCCCTCTACAGTAATAAATTCTACCAGACAGCCTATTATCAGATTATGATAGTAACCTAGATCTGTAATATTAGGCGCAGAATAAGCGAGAATAACTGATCAGCAACCGCAGTGGCGTTCAAGCGGCGTTCAAATTCACTCACTTTCGAACAAATCATTACGAGTTACGCTGTATGTACTGTGCTTGTTTGCCAGCATGCTCCGTTTTTTAAACAGATCTTGATGACACTGCGTTGATGGGCTCATCGAAAAATAGGTGATCTATTATTTAGGGTTAACTCGTTAGTAAATACTACAGAAATACGTAACTGATAAATAAATACTATCGTAATAGAATATAAGACTGCGCAATTGTTGAATCCTCTTTCCCATCGAGGTCGGCGAGTAACACGCAGGACAATTTCGATCGTCTCTACGACGCGCGCACGGAAAGGAAACACAAGTAACAACTCCCTGCCACAACGACAAGCGGTTCAAGAACAAAGCGGATAGAACAAGTACCGAATTACATAATTTCAGATCGTTTAATTTTTAATGTTGGATCAGCTTGTTTATAACACGGTACATTGCTTTAACTGGCTACGACATGGGGAGAAAAGGCAAAGCAGATTTCTCAGCCCAGGCGGACATTGCTGGAGACCCGCCGCCAAAGTATATAAGTGAAGACGAATATAAAGACAGTAAGTTTGTACCTAAATCTGATTTTACGTTAAAATTGTAATTTTGGGTCAGATGTGTATTGGATACTGGTACTGACAATCAGAAATTAACTTCACGGAGAAGCAGTGTATTCATGTAAAGCGTCATGACAATTGACAATATAATATTAAGTAATTTCACTGCAATTTATTTAGGATGAATGTTCCAATGCATCACGTGACCAATTTTGTAGCACGTAATCTGTACGTCGACAGGGTGACCTAAAGAAATATGGAAGACAAATTTAATATAAACCAATAGTTTTCAGACAATGTTATTATTTCTAAAAAAGAAAAGTCAATCTCAGAAACGCAATATATATAAGTTTCTATGGACCCCCCCCCCCTCAAACCCTGACCCTGCGACTCAAATTGACTTATTATTTGTTGACGGAAAAAATCTAGTGTCACGCAACTAAATATTCTACGAATTTGATGTTATATAGGGGGTTAAAATTCAAATGGTTATGTCACGTGAGACCGATACGATTCTAGTGCGAATGATGCCACATGCAGACCTGTTTTCAGTGCTGTCATCTGGGGAGGAATGTTTGTTTACCGGGCATGGGGCGGCATCAGCATCGCCCAACGTCTGAAACGGTAAAACCGACATTCTCAAATATAAACATCTTTTGGTAAGCAAGGCGCTTAGAAGTTGTCAACCTACTAGTTTGTGATAATATGTAAACACAAACAAAAATATACAATGGAAATTAATAGGAGCGAAGAAGATTCCCGACTCTAAGTTGGTTGAACAATTGACATGTAAAGTACATCTCTGTCAGCCCTAGGAGTAACGGCCTACAATGTTATCGCTAAGGTCGTGTGACGGATCTGTGGACGAACTGTTGCATCAGACAAGATTGAAAATAATGATGAAATACATATTTACGAAAGATGATTATCACAATAAATCAATATATTGACATTTAGGCAGGGGAAAAACCAATACATAAAGTGCGGTTATAACTAGTCGTATGAAATTTCAGGAATTTTACCATTAGACGATCAGCATTCTGTTTAACGGTTGTTATGTTGTTTCTTCAACGCCATCACAAACTGAATCTACGTTTTTTCAGCAAAAACTACTACGAGTGTGTTTAATTGACATGTGACACAAACACGCAGGCTACACGGAAAATATTTATTCAACATCGATGATGGCTAGTAGTAAACAAAATCAGTAGTACATTTCAAGCCGATTTTGTTTATTCTGGTCCAAACAATTCAGCTCCCTGGCTACTATAATACTGAAAAGTTCAGACAAGTAGTTCAAATGTTCAATTTATAAGCAGTGGTTATCTGTTGAACTTTAGAATTTAGAACTCTTCAAAATAAACCCTCTGCCACCCATTGTTGAAAAGCACGCGGCGGAGTGTTATCATTACTAGCTGTAACACGTATTTAGTTTGCCGCTGATCACACTACAAGACAGACAGTCTTTGATTTCAAACACTGTAACATTAATGATTTTACTCGATATAGTGTACAAATTGCAAATTGGTTGTGTCCAATGTCCAACACCAAATACCAGGAGAGGAGAGGAAGTTGGAATGGAATGGGTTTTTTTTTCAGAATAGACTCTTGGTGTTAAAAATTGCTACTATGAATTTGACCATATTTTCACAGACAACACATTAACAAATAGGCTTATTTTCAGAGTGTTTTCTGATGCTCATGCCTACACATGTTCGCGGAGGGATACCCGAAACAATCACAACGCTTCAATCTGAAAACATCAACATGTTCGCGGAGGGATACCCGAAGCAATCACAACGCTTCAATCAGAAAACATCAACACTGTTAATTTTGATCTAAAAAATTAGTCCGACACTTTACCAAAAATATACAATAGTTTAAACTCGGATTCATCGTTGCATATTAATTTAATGCACTTTCATATTTCGTTGTGGTGCATATTGAGCCAAAGTGGTTCCAGTGCCGCTGTGGTTATGCCATGCTGCGATAATACTTTAGTTGAAAACTTAACAAGTGTGTACAACGTTATAAACATTCAAAATAACCTAATAATGATATAAGTATCATAATGCAAGAATAATTCACAGTAAATGAATTAAAGCGCATCCGTTGAAATTTGTGACGTATATCGACGCGTTTTTTTTTTTACAAAATCGAGCACTCGTTGCACGACGAATATGACGCTTTAAACCGAGCTTTGTTCATCTCCTAAATTATTTTTATATTTGCGATCATCTACGAGCAAAAATTCACTAAAGATAACCTGTTTAATGATTAACGTTGACCTAGTCTTGTTTGAGTTGATAGAAGAATGTTTGTTGCAGACATACCTACGAGAGCGTAATTTCATCTAAACTATTAGAAATGAATCACGGTTTCAGCGAATTCCTTACATCTCTATCACTAATCCAATGGCCAATCTTGTACTCCTAACCAAACATCTAGGATACCGAAACAATCCTGTAAATTTAAACAGAATATTGAGTTTTTGAGGTTTAATTCTGTTTAGACCATGGTATGCAACGTTACCCAGACAACGATCACCCCCATTGATGTCCGTGAACTTCATGTAGACTGTGTTGTATGACAAGCTTTGATGACAGCGTTGTCGTGTTCAAGTGTAGATTAGCGATCAAGGCGTATCTTTGCCCGCCAAATCAATCTTAATTAGCATTCAATTTTGTAGTTAAAATGTGAATTTCCAACCCACAACCCAAGGTTCAGAATTTAGAGCTCGCGAGCTCAAGAATTCAACTAATGTAAAACATTGCTTAGTCATTCAAGTTACATACAGTATAAAGGTCAATCGACTTATCAGGATATTGTTTGTAAACAGTGTATAAATGTTGACAAAATAAAGAAGGAAACAAACAAAGATGACAGAACTGACTCATCCGAATCAACAACTACTGATATAGCCAGTTGAGTTAGAAGCCATGATATCAACAACAATTTTGCAAGTTGACAACAAGTTGTAAAGTTATTGAAATAGAACATGCTCCAGTTACAAGTTGTTAACACAAAATGGCGCACACCTCCATGCCGAACATAAGTAGGTTAAATATACAATGTGAGCATTACTATTTTAAGATGTAACTTGATTATTTGGAAAATGTTTTTTATTTAGAAGTTTCTAAATTAGACACAATTTTGATTCTTATATAGTGCAGGTCGTACTCTGTACTCTGTAATAACATTTGAGACCTACATATGGTTACCTATATGTAGATAACGATCAACACATCAAAGTCAAGGTATAGACATTCTTCGCTTACGTGGCAACAATTATAGAGCACCTCATCGTCTGCAGTGCTTTATATTACAGCAACATTGAGGAGGTTCGTTGCTACATACCATTTCAGCACAGTGCTAGGACAGTCTAGATTTGAGACTATTGCAATAAAATGACAACTTGTAATTAATATTAATTAAGTAGAATGCGATCGAAATATGTCAGTTTATAGTAGTGATTAAGTCTATATTCAGCTTCACGATAGACAGTGTCAGCCTTTATTACAGTATTTGCACGGAGCGACGAATATTGTTATCTTCATGGTATGATAAAACATACATATACACACATATTCTCATAACTGTAGTTATATCTCTAAGCGTGTCAACATGTGTGAACCTAACAAATGCACTCTGGGATCACTACTTATCAGCTGGAAACGCATACGCCCAATACATGAGTGAATTAAATAGTTTCCGTTCATTGACATGTGTTTGAGATTATATTTGTTTGAACGTGTTTGCCAGCCAAAGCCAGACACTGCAATACAATGCCACTGAATCATTTACTCATACATATATCTGTAGAGTAGGATCATAGGATCATGAATATTCACTAGTAAGGCCATTATCTCATTAAGAATAATTCACAAACAACGCTGGCAAGTAGTGTTATCGTAGCAAACACCGTGGTTCAATGTTAGAATTGTGATACGCCGGTATAGCAACAAAAACGTTATTAGTGATTAGTATCCGACACAAGCTATTCAAATGTGAACTTTTTCATTTCACATCGATATCCTAACATCAATTTGAAAGAGAATAATTTTAAATCTTAGAAATACGAACAAATTAGTCACCTCCATACAAATGAATTCTGTCTTTAATGGGATACTTCAATAATCACACTTTCTAATGTAACTGGAATTATATGTTAATTACATATTACAAAACAACTGGAAAGTGGTGAATGCTGTCTACAATGCTCGTCCACATACTTATGTTGTTAGCAGACAATTATATTAACAATGCCTTATCTTACCAACGAAGCATCTTTGATTGATCTGAAAACCAATATGTCTAGAGGACAATGATCTTCATTGTAGGAGGAAATAAATTGAATCGATTGCTGACTTAAACAGATTTTCTTATCAAGGACATTTGTTAACATTGATTGGTTGGTTTGATTGGCGGATCAAAAGAACCATTGTCACGGCAGCAAACCCCATGCATATTGGCACATGTGAAGTAGAAATAATATCTTATAATCAATAGTTATAAGTGCTAAAGCAAAGATACACGTCCAAAAAACAATAAACAACAAGTAACAATAAATTTGATATGAGAACCATATGTAGACAGACCTCAAGCACTACAAATAATGCGTTTCCAAAACAGGGAGCACATATAGTGTCGTGTAGTACCATGTATGGTACACCAGATAATGACATGAATGACTTCTGAGATTATCTTTGTAATACATTACTTAATTGAAAACATATCATTTTGGGCATTTGGAATATTGATCAGAATTTGCAGCAATTCGGAAGGCTTCATAGTGTACATCGAACTGTGAAAATGATGACACGTGTCTCAATTATATTTCTAAACACAAAGACTAAATTTTAATATATTGTTGTGTTTCTCTAGAAGACAGTGTTAGTGATCTGTCGTCTGTCGCTGAGGTGATAGAAGATATGGAGGGAGAAAAGGCTTCGGTAAGGAACATCTAGACTGGTGATTTAACTATTAAAATGAATGTATTAGTATGGACTATAGAATTACTATTTGTTATTTTTGTCTACACATAGATCCATCTGTTCAAGTGGTGTTTTATTAGTCTATCTATTCAGATACTACTGTTGAAGGATCCATTGCTTGAAATGTCTTTTCATATTGGATAATTACCAAAAATATACATAATATATTCAACGGTTCTAACAGCTGTCACCAATTTTTAGAGTGGTATATTGTTCATTTCATGTTAGTAAAACAATATGTCAATTGTATATTTTTCATAGTGATTAAAAGGAGAGAATTCATTATAAAATTAGCGATTGAATTATGAAGTTTATATAGCAATCCATCATTTCATTTGTGGCATGGAATAAATAAGTAATCTGAAGATATTTTTTTTCTTAGTTTTATCTCCTATCTTGGAATTGTGCATCGATTCTACGACTCGAATTGATACATATGCCTGGCAGTTATCACTCGTGTCTGATGACAGAACATATCGCGAGATTTTATATTCTGTATATTGTTGTGTTGATTGGTGCAACTAGACCATGTGACCTTTAAAAGCCACAAACGTTACCACACTCACATAATTATAAAAGACCAGTGGTAATATGTATTTTTGCTTTTTTGTTCTATCGTTCCCAAAAAAACGTCCCCCTCTCGTACCTTATATATATATATTGTAATATTTAATTCGACAGTGCTCTGAGAGATATCCAAAGCAAATTTATTTTATTCTTGGAATGGAATTTTGTGAAAGATATTGCTATTATGGCATGAAAGGTAGGTCGATGTTTATGCTAACAAACCAGTCAAGTCCAATACTCAACTGAATTAGTATTGTATTAAATAAAAATAGAATTGACTTTCATTGTTGCACAATTCAAGGTACATAACAAATGTGATTTAATTTAAATAAATGTGATTTTGCCATGTTTTTGGTAAATTTATTTGTTTTCTACTCATAAGAATAAGTAACTTTGTCATCGTACTGGGATTTAAATCACTCGAATTTTGTCTAAGAAGTCACATTTAAATTGGTCAATACACAAGAAAACAATTCAGGGTATTTATTATTTAAGAAAACATGTGATTTTTACTTGATGCATTCATGTATGTATTTGTTCGTTTGTTTGTTAGCTATTCTGATTCTTTACTTCACCGAAGTTCTTCTCATGAGTGACAACGATGCTACTACTCTATATCACACATTTGCTATGTTATGCTATCTCACGCCGATTGGTGGCGCTATGCTCTCAGATGGATTCTGGGGTAAATACAAGTAAGTTAATTATTTTTTATAATAATTTCAGTAGACATACAACTGACCCGCCATACTGGTTGTACAATAATACCCAGAAACTAGCCAGTTTAACATTTCATTATTCAATAATGAAGTATTATTTCAATTGTAGGCGGTGTATGGCAAAATTAATGTGGCATAAAATCAATCAAATTCGAAATATGGCTTTTGAGTTACACAAATAACAATAGTCGATACGAACAAAACACAATGAAATAGATAAATAAATGTTATACATTTTTTTCCAGAACGATATTTAGGCTCGCTTGGGTATATCTTCTTGGTTGTGTGCTTTTGTCTTTGTCTTCCATTCAGCAAGTACAAGCCGAAGAACCAACATTGTAAGTATTGTACATCGCCGAGTTTAGTACATTACATATAACTGAAAATAAATGACAGGAAACACAGAATATTAACGAAAGATACATGAATCATGGTCTTCATGATAATAACATTCTAGAAAAAAATTGTTGATCTGTGTAATTTTTCATGGTTTATAACAATATTTCATTTTATGACATACCGCGCATTGTATCAACAATATCACGTCTTACTGACATTATACTACTATCACTCAAATAATTTTCTATCAGTAGGATATTGCAATTAATGCACTTTGTTTTCCTTTACTAAGGGGTGGATGCGTATTTTCCTTGCTACTGATTGCCATCGGTACAGGAGGTATTAAACCATGTGTTGCGGCTTTTGGTGGAGATCAATTCAGACCAGATCAGGTAAAACTCAATTCTCAACAATTTAGTATAGAATTCAATTATTTCGATGAAGGAAACTGTGTGTAGTTGAACTGGTAGAAAATCTGATTAATCGCCCCCACAGATGATATTGGAGGATATTTAATGTCGTTTGTTCGAATACAGAAAACTAAGTGATATATGACTTTTAATATAAAAGTATGAACAATAGGAAAATATCAAACAGATAATATAGCACAGTTAACACTATGATATCCCCATGTCTAGCTTTTATTTTTATTATCAGTTTGTATTAATTTGTACACAAGATTAGTTCATTGTTTCAACAATAATACAATGTGTTTTAACATCAAAAATTTGTTAGCGTTGGGGAGGATCGGAGGGCGGAATCGAAATCAACTTATATGCAATATATCCTGACTGAACAGTTCTTGTGATAATCGTAGTGACAGTAGCAGTATCGACAACACATGGAATCGTGTAATTTCTTTTCTTTTCATCAGGTTTTGGAAATCCAAACATTTTTTCTGATTTACTATTTTGCCATCAACTGTGGAAGTTTATTGTCAACATTCCTAACGCCAATCCTCCGAGAAGATGTCCAATGTTTCGGCGGAGATTGTTATCCATTGGCGTTTGGTGTTCCTGCTGCCTTGCTTCTAGTCGCTATAAGTATGTCAACCATTAACCTATGAAACTCTCTTCCGTTTTGCCCATGCTACGTATGGATATAGATGTTTGGAAACTATTACATTGAAAAACGTCTATTTTTTTAAATTTCATTGTACAAAAATTACGCAATAATGGACAAGGCGTTGTTGTTTATTCTCTAAAAGATATTTCCAGTGATATTTAGCAATAAACACTATTATTATTTTTTTCTAGTAATCTTTGTATGTGGTCGATACACCGTTGGTTATATAATTCACCCAGGAACTGGCAACGTCGTTTGGGAATTCTGTAAAGCCATTGGGGTAATAAAATAATCTAATTCTTTTCACGCAGTCTCGCGCTGTCAATCACCTGTATAAGGTAATTAAAAAAGAAAAGAAAATATACATGTATGAAAATTAGTTAAAGTATATGTATATTTTAGCATGCAGGGGTCAATAAAGTAAAGTACAGAAAAGAATGGAAAGGGAAATATAGCCATTGGATAGAATGGGCGTCAGATACATACCCGGTAAGTTTATGAATACCATCTGTACCGCCACCGCCACTCACCTCACACTATACCGCTTTGTTCTCATGTCATGTACATATAAACAACGTGATGACCATATATATGTAAAAGTAATTGAGACGAATATACAATCAGCGGATTCTATATATCTTTCTCTTGTATGATCCTGTAGAGACAATTGATACTGGATACCAAATGCGTGCTACATATCTTGATTATGTATATACCACTACCCATGTTTTGGGCTTTGTTTGACCAACAAGGATCGCGATGGACATTACAGGCAACGCAGATGAACGGCAATTTTGTAAGTACCTTCACTAACATATTTTATCACATATTTGACCAGAGACTGGGATTTGTATTGTGTTATAAGCCGCAATTCACTCTGCAAATAAATCGTATAATTAGTATAAAAGTACGAATATGGAACGTTCATACATGATAGTGAATCGTGTGTCTATTCAATTCAATTCTATTCTATTCTATTCTATTCTATTCTATTCTATTCTATTCTATTCTATTCTATTCTATTCTATTCTATAAATCTATGAACTTTTTAATTAATTTAAAAATGTTTTATTCCAGGGAAATATTTCAATGAAACCTGACCAGATGCAAGTAAGTATATTTCGAGATATGTTTAATGGTGCATTCAGGGATTTGTTTCTAAACTTTCAATAATTTTACTAATTTTATTTTATTGTTAATTCCTTTCTTAATTCCGGTGCACATGTACCTTTGGTGGATGATTACTGCATAAATCCTTGCTGTAATATTCATCAACCTAAAAGCCGATAAACTAAAACTTGAGTAGGAGCTAAACTTGAAAGGAAATTATCTCTATATGTGTTCATTAACATATCCTACATACGTTTTCATATCACAATGCTACTGTTATTTGCTGAAATATCTGTTGTACATATTTGTAAATAGAAGTTATTAATCCTACCTAATATTGACTATATTCGCCTTTACTTGTCAGACAGTCTGCAAAATAGTCTTTCTGCATTTAATCAATTTGATTATTTTTTATTTACTAATACTGTATCAATATACTACGCTGCGAATTGCAAGCGTAACATCAGTTATTTATCCTTATAAATGTCTTACTTGCTGGTATTTTTGATTTAGAATTTTCTGGGGATAACATACTAGATATAAAACAGAAAAAAAAATTCTCGTAAATCAAGCATTTTTTCATGTGGTAAATTCTCATGAATGAGTAACAGAATATGTGACCTGTCGGGTCATGGATAAGGATGTATGCGACGTTTATGGATGCACGACTTTTTGTGTGCTAATTTCTAATATCATTTGAACAAATGATGATACAAATTGCCAGGCAAATGCTTGAAATCAGTTGTTTGAATTAATTAGTAAATTTAAATTATTTTCATAATTCTACATTATCTTTTCAGATTATGAACCCATTGTTTATATTGCTGCTGATTCCCATATTTGATAACTGTATTTATCCGCTGTTACGAAAATGCGGCATACGATGTACGTATCTACAACGTATGTGTTGGGGCATGTTTTTCGCTGGATTTGCCTTCTATTGTGCTGGATTATTACAGATAAAAGTAAACGTAGGTATTGGATTTATTCACGTTTTCGATACTTTGAAGATCGAGTGACAAGGTTACGAGGATTAGGGACACTTCTGTACCACGGTCACGATACAGTGTCACAAATGTGAGCTTTAAAATTAAATATTTATATAAAACATCTAAAACGTTAACTATTACATAAATACCAGTCTATAGTAAGAATTCTGTTCTCGGATATTTAATTCAGATTTAGTGGCGTAAATAAAATCTGAATAACTAACTATATAAACGTCTACTTTATTGGCTAGTCGGGAAGTTTGATACACCGGTTTTTGAACGCAATTGATTGTAACGTAAAATGCTCGGAATCGTGCAAAATAGTTCGTTCCACTGGGATTTGATCAACATTGCATACTAATACCCGATCTCTATTCGGTTATCCGTCGCTCGCTGTCATTTATCCCATCTATCAAAAGTCTATAAACAGAAACACGTGCAAGTGTGGGCAAAATATACGGTCCGTACTATAAAACAAACGTTTGTGTACCTGCAGCAATATAACATCCTGTCATGTTCGCGTGTAAAGCTACCATAAAGCAACATCTAGTGTGTATATTATTGTATACGTGAGAAAGTTTTGATGGAGTAGTAAAAACTTTAAAGCAAAAACAGCAGTGAACATGCTCACTGATTGAGATTGCCGATTACACACAGTCATTACGACATTTCTAATCATACAATGCTGATGATATCTTTGCAGGAAACCAATGTAGTTACACCATGTATTATTGAAGAGTCGGGTCAGACCGGTATGATTGTTTTCAATGCAGCGTCGTCTAATATCAGTGTAAAACAAGGCGATAATGAGGTGTTTGAAGTGCCCACCAGAATGGTAAGTATATTACAGAGTGTTCGTATTATTCGCAATTCAGAAAGAAAGAAAAAACATAACGAGACATACTATGCTGCAAACTCAGTAGACAGAAGGAAAACATAAATATCAGTCAAATACTATGTTGTACAAAAAAAACAAAGAGTAAATTCATTTTAACGGGTTAAGGCTTAAAGTGGCATGGTCGTCGTACAGAGATTGTTCAAATTTCGTGTAAACAAACAACGTATATACGTCGCTATGGGTCCCACATCTGGCGCGATGCGACGGCTCTACCTGGTTTAACAAAAGCCGTCTCTTAAAAAAGGAGGAATAGCTCCCCGAATTCAACATAAATAACCGGTTATGTACTCAAACCGGAAGCAAATACTAGTATCTGTCTAGGCAGATTAACACCAATTGAGTAAGTTTAACGATAAATCAGAGATGTTTAGAATAAACTACTGGTTACGTGATTTATTGCGTGCAAATTGTCGAAGAACGTCGGTATTTCACGAGTTTATGATTTTCTACCTACTCTCCACCCCAAATCAAGGAAGTCATTAAGTTTATTTTGTTTGTTGGTAAATCAATGAGAAGTTGTTTTTATTTGAATCGTGGTTATGTGTAACCATGCGCTTTATAGTAGTTATAACCGTAGCGCTTCCCAATCGCCATAATATACTGACAAATGTTGGCGTAGACTGAATGTTCAATGAAACGTGAGTGGTATAATTTGTTCTCAGCGTTAAGCATTTTTTTTTCACTATTAAAAGAATTCAGATCATATCGAGACAACCCCGGGTATCTTCCAAATCTCTGTAAGCAGTGACACCAGCGATCAAATAGACTTCTCGATTGACTTGGTAGATTGCTCGTCTAACAGACTTATTGTCGCCGATTTTGAGGACGCTGACGGAGCTCTCATTCTAGACGCCATTTTGGTAAGTCAATGTTTATGTTTATATTTTTTCAAATGTATCGCTTAAGTAGCTAATACTCATTTCCAGAAGCTGATCACATTTTATGCAACCGATCTGACATAGTAGTCATAATTCAAACGCGCCCAGACGTTACCAGTTCGTGGTAAAACCGTGGGATCAAACTCAACATCATTGTCAATTATAGTTCCTGATGTAAGATAAGACAATTTGGTTTTACAAGTTATGTTAGATCATATAATGTGGTTTACAAGTTATGTATGGGTAGACAATTTCCATATGAACACCTCGGTATTGATTGGAATTTTCATATGAGCACCACAATATCGATTTATAATCTATATTTGATCACATCAGATCGGTTTGCATCCGCGATGAATACAACCGTATGGGTTAGTAACCTACATATGAATACTACCGTCACAGTTAGCAATCTGCATATGAATACAACCATATCGTTTTGCAATCTGCGTATGAATACAACCATATCGTTTTGCAATCTGCGTATGAATACAACCATATCGTTTTGCAATCTGCGTATGAATACAACCATGTCGTTTTGCAATCTGCGTATGAATACAACCATATCGTTTTGCAATCTGCGCATGAATACAACCATATCGTTTTGCAATCTACGAATACAACCATATCCGTTTACAATCACCGTATGAATACAACCATATTGGTTTGCAATCTGCGTATGAATACAACCATATCGTTTTGCAATCTGCGCATGAATACAACCATATCGTTTTGCAATCTACGAATACAACCATATCCGTATATCCGTTTACAATCACCGTATGAATACAACCATATTGGTTTGCAATCTGCGTATGAATACAACCATATCGTTTTGCAATCTGCGCATGAATACAACCGTATCGTTTTGCAATCTACGAATACAACCATATCCGTTTACAATCACCGTATGAATACAACCATATTGGTTTGCAATCTGCGTATGAATACAACCATACCCTTTTGCAATCTGCGTATGAATACAACCATATCGTTTTGCAATCTGCGCATGAATACAACCATATCGTTTTGCAATCTACGAATACAACCATATCCGTTTACAATCACCGTATGAATACAACCATATTGGTTTGCAATCTGCGTATGAATACAACCATACCTTTTTGCAATCTGCGTATGAATACAACCATGTCGTTTTGCAATCTGCGTATGAATACAACCATATCGTTTTGCAATCTGCGCATGAATACAACCATATCGTTTTGCAATCTACGAATACAACCATATTGGTTTGCAATCTGCGTATGAATACAACCATATCGTTTTGCAATCTGCGTATGAATACAACCTTGTCGTTTTGCAATCTGCGTATGAATACAACCATATCGTTTTGCAATCTACGCATACAACCATATCCGTTTACAATCACCGTATGAATACAACCATATTGGTTTTCAATCTGCGTATGAATACAACCATATTGGTTTGCAATCTGCGTATGAATACAACCATATCGATTTGCAATCTGCGTATGAATACAACCATGTCGTTTTTCAATCTGCGTATGAAAACAACCATATCGTTTTGCAATCTGCGTATGAATACAACCATATCGTTTTGCAATCTGCGTATGAATACAACCATGTCGTTTTTCAATCTGCGTATGAATACAACCATATCGTTTTGCAATCTGCATATGAATACAACTATGTCAGTTTACAATCTGCGTATGGATACAACCATATGGGTTTGCAATCTGCGTATGAATACAACCATACTGGTTTGCAACCTGAAAATGAATACAACCATATCGTTTTGCAATCTGCGTATGAATACAACCATACCTTTTTGCAATCTGCGTATGGATACAACCATGTCGTTTTGCAATCTGCGTATGAATACAACCATATCGATTTGCAATCTGCGTATGAATACAACCATATCGGTTTACAATCTGTGTATGAATACAACCATATCGGTTTTCAATCTGCGTATGAATACAACCATATCGGTTTACAATCTGCGTATGAATACAACCATATCGGTTTGCAATCTGCGTATGAATACAACCATATCGATTTGCAATCTGCGTATGAATACAACCATATCGGTTTACAATCTGCGTATGAATACAACCATATCGGTTTTCAATCTGCATATGAATACAACCATATCGGTTTACAATCTGCGTATGAATACAACCATATCGGTTTGCAATCTACGTATGAATACAACCACATCGATTTGCAATCTGCGTATGAATACAACCGTATCGGTTTACAATCTGCGTATGAATACAACCATATCGGTTTTCAATCTGCGTATGAATACAACCATATTGTTTTGCAATCTGCGTATGAATACAACCATATCGGTTTGCAATCTGCGTATGAATACAACCATATCGATTTGCAATCTGCGTATGAATACAACCATATCGGTTCACAATCTGCGTATGAATACAACCATATCGGTTTGCAATCTGCGTATGAATACAACCATATCGGTTTACAATCTGCGTATGAATACAACCATATCGATTTGCAATCTCCATATGAATACAACCATATCGGTTTTCAATCTGCGTATGAATACAACCATACCGGTTTGTAATCTGCGTATGAATACAACCATATCGATTTGTAATCTGCGTATGAATACAACCATATCGATTTGCAATCTGCGTACGAATACAATCATATCGATTTGCAATCTGCGTACGAATACAACCATATCGGTTTGCAATCTGCATAATAATGCGTCACATGGCCAAGAGTGAATTAAGTCACAATGTATAGTTATAACGAAATGTCGCCGTAATTTTCAGGTTCCTGACAAATACGAAAAACCTGACAATGGCATGGTGTTTGCGAGGTAAGTAACTCAATTTGATATTAATTGGATTTAAGTAAAGGCGCATGTAAATATGAATGTTTTTCGGGATCTAATACGCAGATTATTTCTTTACCTGCTCCGTTGTTTTATTTTTGTTGTATTTTGACATGAACATGAGTTTTCATAAAAATAACGATATAATATATTACCTGGTCTTTCGCGTAATTCTGGAGACTTGTCTGTTACTCCTTGGGTTTCTAAAACGTGGATTGACAGCGAGGAATGCATCTCTGGTTAGGATCTGCCCAGATATTCATTATTTTGTATACATTACAAAAATAGAAATATTAATATGTAAAAAAATCCGTTTGTTTGTTTTTTAGTTATGTGTTCACACTTGTACTTGGGGATGGGGATCTCTTAGTAGATTTGGATAGTGAAGATTATGATTATCATGATATAAATGCAACACTTACACCAACCTTGATGAACTACCCTGAATCTGAGTTCCGTGTGACGACGTGGCTAGAAATAGAACCAGGAAGGTAATTGTCATTTGTATTCCAAAACTTACTACATCAACAATTTATTAAAACACATGAAAAGCACATTATTTAAAGCGCGGTAAGTCGTCGCGCTGCGCATGTTCGACATTTGTGTTGATAAATATTGATTTTCCCACAATCCAATGCGCTCTTCAAATGGAAATCACAAGTATGAGGTTTGACCTGGGCGCGACTATCACTGATTACCGCCGGTGACTCCGTCGATACCTTCCAATCACATGAAAATTACTTAATTAAAGCTTGGAAACGTGTCAGCTCGTACTCGATGATCTGCGCAACTGTCAAAGTCGCCATCTTTGTTTATATGAGACCCACATATCTCGCACATGCGCAGCGCGACGACTACCGCGCTTTAATAAATTGTGAGAAGTGAAATAAGAGTTGGAATTTGATGCCTGAACACTGAACATAACGCCTTGTGAATACATGTATATTAAAGAGCGGTGGTCGTCACGCAGCGCGTGTTCGAATTTCATGTAAACAAAAGTTGTATTTTATACGCGTTGATTACGTCGCTATGAACCCCATGTCGAATCTGACGCGGCGCGACGACCACTGCTCTTTAAAAAGAAAATAAATGCATGAAATTCAAGTGCCTGCGATTTGAAAGTTTACAAACAATTAATACTAGTATTTGTTTATGTTTGTTTGTTTGTTTGCAGCTACACTGCATGTGTACACGAGGTCGATAGTGAAGAATGTAAGTCAGCGGAGGGGCTCGACATTTATAATGGTGGCGCCTACACTACCATATGGCATCCCATAACTCCTGGAACGGAGGTACACTATCTGTAAAAAGGCGACAAAATCTAACAATAATTTGTAGTTGTCTTTTTACTAAATACGATAGCACATGCGATAATGCTTTATATATGGAAAACAAAATAACAGAATGCCTCTCTTGTTTTCTGTTTTCTGTTATCAGGAGAATGGTGTAATTATGGACGAACACGAAACTGTGCCGGCCAACGCTGTGCCTATGCTATGGCAGATTCCTCAATACTTACTGATCACGACTGGAGAGGTCATGTTTTCTATTACTGGTCTAGAATTCTCATATGCGCAGGTGAGTCATCTCATTATTTTGCATGAATAAGTTGTTTGGTAAACTATTGCATTACGTTGTTTTGCTCGAAGTTGTAATATGATAAAATCAACTAAAACTGGGATCACAGACAGTTGGGAATATTGGGAGTTAAAGGAGGGGTGTTAAAATCAAAACTAAGTATTTAGTAAAAGGAATTGAGCCCCAAGCGACGACAACAACGCACGCTAAAAACGCAAAGACTCATGGGTATAGATCTGCCGCATGCGCAGGTGACAAGTTCCCCGCTTTAATAGTGTGATGTTCAAACTGTCTGAATTTTAAAAACATACGAACCTGCATCAATACATAAAAGCACCATACCGCGCCGTGTTCGATATGGCTCCCACTGCTCTCCAAAACTCAATAGGACGCCATGTTTACTATCGTGGGACCAGTTACACACGAATATCAATGAATATTTGCCATTCATATTGTATGTTTCTTTCCTTCTCTCACTAGGCCCCGGCCTCTATGAAATCGACACTACAAGCTTTCTGGCTTCTGACCGTCGCTGGCGGAAATTTACTCGTAATTATTCAGACCTCCGTAGTTTCCCCCAGGAGTATGGTAAGTACGGTGGCCACCATCGCACACTGTGACCCTCATCAGACCATCAAAACGTACATCACATATACACTCTCACCAACACTAATCATATTTGCTGGAAGCGGTGTTTCATTCATTCATTCATTCATATAAGGAGGAAAGTAGTGTAGCTCTCATTTTATCTCATTTATTTTAGTAAAAATGCTTGTATTCCATGAAGTTTTATTAAATGTCAGTGCTACCAAATATTTCGAATACAAGTGCATTGTAGATATGGTGTTCGTCTGAAACATATTATGCTACACTGTTGCAATGAGTATATTTCGTCATGATTTTGTTTGATATAATATCTTGATATGGTCCATGATGTATCGTACAATAAAAAACGGTTTGGTTGCAAACATTTTCGTAGATAATACATACGTTTACGCAAAGGCAAATCCGGGACGAATTCGCATGCGCTTTTTTCAGTAATTACGTACGCTAAATAGACAAAATGAATGCGACTATGATCACCATTAATTAATTAATTTATTTATTAATTTATTTATTTATTTATTTATTTATTTATTTATTTATTTATTTATTTATTTATTTATTTATTTATTTATTTATTTATTTATTTATTTATTTATTTATTTTAAAAAAATGTTGTAGTCATTTCTTTTTATTGTTACTCCAGTTTCCCACCGAAAACGTGATTTAAATAATTATGTTCATTTTCACCGATTACAACATGTAGCATGTAGCACCTTCTCAAGACCGAAGGCTGAACTTTAGGTTGACCCCTTTTCAGAAAAGTTACTAAAATAATGACTCTATACTGGAGAAACACACTCCTATCAATGTACTTTCCTAATAGAAGTGGCCTCTTGAGTTACATTCGTAATCATCCGCAACATCAGGAGCATGCAACAGTCATTTTGTTTTGCATAGCTTATATTACCCATTGATAATCGTAATTTCTAACCCATTTTTCAGCACGTCGACTTCTTTATTTTTGCAACCTTGATGATGATCGTAGCTGTGATATACGTTGGAATGTCGTACTGGTACACGTACATAGAACCAAGTGACTATATATTGGAGGACGAAGAAGAAGACGACGAGAAGAAGGAGCCAATCGATGGGGATGATAGATCATCCAACAGTTCATTACCTGAAAAAGAAAACTCTCTTGGAATGACAAATATGGCAATGGATAAATCAGATTCAGATTCAGACTAATACATCATTGATAGTCAGTGGTGATAAATAAAGGGGTACTGAATAGTATATACCCGAAACACTTCGCGGTGCCAAACATTGTTTTCAATTAAAGCTATGAAGAGTATTGCGACGTATGACTATTATATAATGCATTACATCAGAACAACATCTATGCTACTAATGACAATGTCTGTTCTGTGCTTCATCTAAGATTTACCTAACCAACAGCCTCGGTTTTACTTTAAATGCTGTGTTAACTCTCAGAATTATGTCATTTTTACGATATTCATGATTCCAATGTAACTCGGAAAATGTGTTAAATCATTGAGCATTTAATTTTACTGTGCATAAATGCCTGAATGTGTTGGCAATGATTGTTTACGTAATTAATGATATTTTTAAAGTGAGTCGCTATTTTTGTCTTTGGGGTGTGTTTTCTTATGGGTAGACAATTCTTCATAAATTAGAGTTTATAATTTCCTGGTGTTAAATGTATCTAGTTCTTAGGGTTTTAAGTAATTTGCGCTATGTTAACCGTATTATGGTCTTTATTGTTTTATATTCTTGTGTCATATTGGTGAGCGCGTGTCACATTATGACTGGTAATATCGTCAAACTGTATTCTATACCTCTTCATTAAAAAATAAAAGAAACATATTTTTAATTCATGTGACAAGTGTTTTGCTGTCTTATCGTTGCGGTAGTCTGGTTTAGGAATTGGAGAAAGATTGTTAATTGTTTTATTTGTTTTTAAATAAAATCAAAAACTGGAGTGAAAAACGAATGAAAAATGTTTTTATTCAATCTGATTGAAGAATTGATTTACGCAGAAAAAGTAAAACACGATCTTCTTAATTACAACAAATAAAGTCACATATGAAAGGAACTTCATGTAACAGTAAACAAAATAGGTCGCGTGTAAATATCTTTCCGTTTGAACAGTTTGTTATACATGTAGTAGATAAAGCGTGATCTCACGTGTCAATTTCATATCTATCCATTTCGAGCCCACCCTCGTACATCAGAAAACTTAAATCGGAACTTGTCACTAGATATCCTTCACTTTTACCATATAGTTTTATGTTAAGCTGTTTGCTTACAAAATCCAAAAAATAAACTATTGTTCACGCAAATTACGTGCCACTCTTATGAAATCAAATCAGCGATTTTTGAGTCATTCATCATACGTCATAACTCAAAATACATATAATGAAAAATGCAATAATCATTTTGTAGTTATAAGATAGGTCCTCATGGTTGTCCCAATTTATTGAAAAATTCGGACGAATACTATTAATTTTTTGATAGGTATGCAGCGTACAACGTGTTAACGATATCAGACAGGTTTTCAAATAATGTTGAGATAATAAAAGAAAGTGACACCATAAACATTATAATGAAAAGGTAAACTAGTTTTGTTTTTAATTTATTTTTACTGTGACCACATTTTGACAAATGTTTTGTTGTATCAAAATATACGCCCTGTCCTAAATGACAACACTGCCCTGAAACGTCACTTCTAGGTTTGCACTCCTCTCTAAAGATGACATTTTTTATCTCTAGCATCCCCAGATAACAACAAGCCTGGTTCCGACAATCAAGAGAAGTTGTTAAAAGCGTTTTCTTGTTTTCTTGTTCTCTTGTCTTGTTCTTAGTCGATGTACAGGATTGGCGAGAAATAATACGAGAATGATCGAACATTCCCGACATTACTCATCAACAGTCGCTTTCTCCCATGTGTATCAGTATATCTTGGCAACTAAACCGTTTTACGTCACACTATTTAGATGAAATATTTGTCTAAGGCAATTTGTTCATGCCCTCAGACGTTATTCACTGCGTAGTAGAACTTTTAATATTCAGTTGCTCGGCATCTTCTGATGATTAAGCCTGGTTAATCATCGCCGACATTCGCTGACTATCAAAGTCGTATTCAATGTCAATGTTTGAGGTCACGAACTTCTGATATTAAAATGAACATCCCAGTAAATAAATACAATTATCAGTAGAAACATCCTCGACCGATAACACAAATAAAGTCTCTTGTCTTAAGGAGTTCTGTGCATTTTCTCTGCTCGTTCATGGTTGGTAAGAAGTGTAGTTAATACTGTCTGGAAACTCGCGAAGTTTCAACAATAAGAAAACGGATTTTGGACATTTCTATCAAGTATTTATTATAAGTACTCAGTTTGGGACGAGGTTTGAAAATTATACACTTCTATGTTGTTTGAGATCGTCTTCATGTCCATATAGTGTAAAATTGGTGTCTGCTGCAATAAAGACCTCGGAAAACCATTTGCTTTAAAAAATGGCAAAAGAGAAAAAAGACTCGTGTCAGCAGGCAGATTTTCCAATGGAACCAACAAACATAACGGAAAATGGAAAGATGTCTGTCGGTGATGTGAAAGCAGTTAAGACAGCTGATGTTGTAGTGAATGAAAAAAGTAAGTAAACATGTCACTTTGTTAATACCGCGTTAAGAATATAAGCTGTGCGCTGTGTGGAACAATCTCTAATTTGACTAGAATTGATTCATGTATGTGAGATGTGTCAGCAGAGAGGAGAAGGGAGACGTAATGATAGATATAGAATGAGAACAGGTGATGAGAGAAGAATTGAAAGCATGGAATATATGTTCCCTTTAGTTCGTTTTCCCTGTCACATAAAAACTGTAAAAAGATGGCGATACTGATGAAGACGATGTATGATTTTGCTTTAAAAAAATGTAATTTTTATATGTAAGACATTTTAGGTATGGCTCAACATTTCAATGATGCTTGACCTGTTTGTCGTAAAACTAATAACAACCCCGCCTTGTTTTGGATAATGCCGTTCATGGATCAATAACGTGGCCGTTCAGTGCTACAGGACACGTGCGGTGCATTGTGGGTCATGCGTGTCTTCTTCATTCAACAACCACTGTATATATCGAACTTCGGATATTTTCGTCTCATTAAAAACTATAACCAACAAATCGATTTAAAACTAATTTTAAAATAATAAACTATTCATATGAAGATGGTGGTGTTTGGTAATTAAAGGACAACCTTGAAAATAACTTTTTCGATTAGTTGCTACTGTCAACGTTGGTTTTGATTTCCATTATCAAATCAGCTTTTCACGTATATATATATATATATATATATATATATTTATCATATTCCAAATACTTTTTCATTTAGTTTCCAAATGCCACAGGAATTCTAAAGATTAATTCCTTACAACATCCGGGTATTTATGAGTTGATTTAAACACAACAACGTCTTGTCTGACCTATATAACATTTCCCGCCAATTAGTGTTGAGAGACGCCGTCAGCTGTATACTTGTGTATTGGCCTTGGCGGGCAATATCGCCTACACGCATTGTCCAACAGGAGCTAGTTACTATATACAGGGTCCAAATAGCAGATACGTACGTATATTTGACACACATAGATGGAGTTTATATTTAAACAACGCGTTCCTTTCTTATCGAACTAAAAAAAATGAGCACCTGAGATAAGAAAAACGCCACAGTTACTCCGACCTAACTTTACAGTTCAGATTATAGATATGATAAGTCATGTGACTGGCAACATATGTCGATTTCAAGCCTTTCCGTTTATTACATGTGATGAACTCCCTATCTTTACTTCCACTACAACCGCCTGATAACGGGGACATCATCGGATAAAACAATGAGCGTAGATGGGGCCTCCAATGGGATGTGCTGATTGTACAACTGATTTTCCAATTGTGTTATCCCACAAACTTGGCGTTACAAGAACGCGTCTTAAACACATAGGCATATAGGTATTGTATTAAAAGTACGTACGAGTAATCCAACGCGCATGCCCATTTGCTTATTTCATTGATTATTGGACTGACACGTGTCCGTGGCCAAAATAAACTGTATAGTTCACAACAATTCACAAGCTGGAGAAATGATTAAAGGGAGGTGGTCGTCGCGCTACACATGAGGGAGATATGGGTCTCATATAAACAAAGATGGCGACTTTCATTGTTGCGCAGAATATATACACACTGTGACGTTACCAAGCTTTAATTAGGTATTATAGGTGATTGGAGTGTATCGAGGGAGTCGGGCGTTAATTAGTGCAAGTCCCGCCCAGGTCAAACCTCATAATTAGAACATCCGTCAGAGCAGCGCATTGGATTTTGGGAAAAAGCAATGTTTTTCAAAACAAATGTCACCAATGCGCGGCGTGACGACCACCACCCTTTAAAATACAATATCGGACACAATATTGGGAAACTATTCAACACTATTTGTATTGAATCTTTAAGGAAAATAGCAACATCAAGTTGTAGTTGTTTGTGGACGTTAATAGTGAATGTCCATGTCATCTAGACCTTCACAAGGTCGTAGCGTGAATGACCTAAATTGGGTTTACTGGACTCAGTGTTGAGACAATGGGGTTCAATGTTCACTGGTAACTATTCCTACTTGGCGCAAAGGTCAACATGACAGCCCTGTCTAAACCCAGCGTCACTCGTGTAAGTGTCGATCACAAGGGCACTGGTCAATGCATATGGGGTTAAGAAAAGAACGATGGCGTCTTCTGTACGGAGGAATATTCTCCAAAAATACATAATTAGGAAAAACACTTTCTAAATTGGCCACATAAACATTTAGCAAATTTGATCAGCAGAATCTAAAAAATACCTATAATTTAGTTCAAAACATTCAAAGACAGGAAGACCTTATTTGATGATGGACATTAATTTTGTTCTTGAGTGCCCCATACTAGACAAGCGCCACTTTCCCAGGAGTTCCACACTTACACTCCACACCATTCTACTACAGGTTCGATATGAGAACGATGCACCTGTTCAATCTCTATCTCTTATCATGATTAATTATAGCTAAGGAATTAACATATCAGAGAGGGTCTTAGTACTATGTCGATAGCTCACGGGATGTGACAGAAACAGTATGAGGGAGACTAACAACGACACAGTGGAAAGGGCTGCATTTACTATGAATGATCACTAATCAATTCGACTCAGCACCCAT